GAGATGCCGACAAAGTACGATAGATACCAGCGGTTCAGGAGAAATAGAAGGGCGGATAGGGAAGCTGGAGAAGGGAAAACATCAGGGCGGAGCTTGAACACGGGAGGAGGAATAAAACGCGCAAACTCGAGACGAGCACCTCTCTTTCTCCCTTGCTCTGTCTTTCTTCCCCTTTTCTTCCGTCTCCCTCGCCCCTTCTCCCTTTCCCTTCTTTCTCCGCTGCTTCTCCCTTCGAACGAGTCACCCCATCCGGTTTTCCTCTTTTCACCTTTATATGGATTTTTTAGCCACCCGCGGCCCCTTCTTCCTCTCATTCGTCGAGAGGCTTGCGCAAACTTGCTGCACGAGCCCTCCTCATTTCTTTCCACTCTCAATCTCCCCATCTTTTTCCTTCCTAGTTTTTCTTTCTTCCTCATAGGTGCTACAATTCAGTGGTTTTAATGTCTCGTCTATTTCTACTTCGTCAAAAGTGGTCATCAAGCTTTTTATGTTGCTCCGCTTTTCTTAAAAATTGTCTCTGCGGTTTTCTTTGAAATGTATTTTCTCCTGAGAATATCTCATAATTTTTCCTCTCTCTCTCCCTCTGTCTCTCTTTTAATCTTTTTCTTAATCATTTCTAATTTGTTTCTAAGAAATATTTAATATGACATGTAGTGTTATAAAGCTCGAGAATGCAGTGAAAGCAACGTTCGGGAACTCTTTAATAATTATTCGATTTACGGCGTGCAAATCGAAGATCTCGCAACTTTTCGCGATCGTTTCGCTGCCGACTCTTCGGCTTGACTTCCCTCGAACCGGTTCGCGGGAAGTTTCTGTGTTAACTTCTTTTTCCTCTCAATTTATCGGACTCCTTCCAGCACGGTAACGAGTCACGCTCGTGCCGTGCAACAGCGACAGCTAATCGGGTATAAAACGGAGACCACTTACCGAGTCAAATGTGGTTTTTATCATTCGAACAAGCACTTAATCCTAGAATTAATTAACTTTCAATGCGCTTTCGAAGCGTCAAAATGTACGCACGCGTGCAAACGTAAAGTTCTGTTCGCTAACACTTGCAATCAGCGGTCAGACTCCGAATGACATTTAAAGATTTATATAAAAAGCGTAACTTTTCTCTAAATAATTAATGATAAAATTCAAGTAAAGAAAAAAAGAATCAATTATGGCTGACAAATATTTTTGAACAAAATTATTTTATAAGGTTCTTTTATGGAATTTGGGGGAGGGGAAACTCGTAACTTATATAAATAAATCCGAAAGTTTATATAAATTTTATTATTAGTTTCCACATATAGATCTGTTTCATTTATACATATATATATATATATATATATATATATATAATATGGTATATCAAGATATTTTTTGTTATCAATTTACGTGTAATTAAGATTTTCCATTTCTCATATGTAATATTTAGAAATATAACTCATTCTATTTGTCTCTTTCTCTCTCAAATATAATTAAAACATTCATACATTATATACAATTTTATATATATATATATATATTAACTCTAGAATATCGATTGAAATAATTGCTAATCTCATTAATCTTTAAATTCTCTAAGAAATCAATTAACGACACACAAATGTAGACAGAGAGAAAGAGAAAGAAAGAGAGAGAACGAATAATATTACAATCATCTCTAGGGGAAGGTGATGAAATTAGCCGTTAGCATTTTTCAATCCAATTAACACGAGAGGATTACTTCGAAAATATCTGGGACTATGTGATGACATAGATTACCACGATCGTCTTTTGCATCAAGAGGATTGACCTATAAAGGAACGCAACGATTTTTCAAGGAATGTGGAAACATCGCTTAATCGTTGAACAATCGTGCTCGGACCTTCACCTCTATCGTAGAGAGAGTGTTAAAGTTTTTCCGGTGGTATTCGCATTTCAGCAAAATCGTCCCGACGGCGACGACGCTAATCGGCTTTCGCGAGCTTTGAGGTGTTTAACATCGCTAGTACGATTTTCGCGGAAGTAACACTGCGCTAAATCAGCGAGATACAATATCCGCCATTCAATCACAAGATCATGTCGAGGGAACAATCAATTTTTGATCGATGAGTATGGCATTATTTAAATAATAGAATGAAAAAAAAAATTATCAGACTGGATGCAGCGAGAAAAAGAGAAGGAAATGGGCGGAGAAAAAAATGTGTTTCGAATTCATTATTTTTTAAAAACTCAACTCTTTTTTTAGATAGAAGAGAGGAGTTGCTGTAAAATATTTCTACAGACTTTTTCAGACTGAAAACTATGCATATCTCTTGAGAATATATTTTGTGAAATATTGATGACCCCCTACGGTCTGCTTTAACATTTGAAGAAAAGAAATGAATGATGACAGGAGGAACGGAAAGAGTTGTTGACTTAGTGGCCTATCAAAAATATTATGTATCGCATGACATAGCGATATATTTACGATCTTCGGTAATAAATCAATAATTATCTCGTGAAATTCATATTCCATAATTCAATAAATCGCTCATCGATTCGGACCTGGAATTGATCATCACTCTCATCGCATATTGGAGCATTATCATTAATCGGATTTATCTTACACTTAACTCTAGAAGACTATAAGGGTCTACGACGTAAGGGTGCGAATTATTTCCGCCCGCGCCAGTAACGGATGTACCTCGCATATACATGACAGAAGTGAGCAAGAAGATGCGACTCCGAATGGGATTCCTTATCGCGCGTCGCAACACTCTCTTAACGCGAATATCCGCGGAATTACCGCGCGGTTGTCGCTTAGATTATAAACGACGCGTACGACATGCGACAGAGCATCGGGTGCAGCAGCACGCGCGTTATTCGCGCGCCCTGCTCGTTGCACGCAAGAGAGAGTTCACTATCTCTCACTCAATTTAAGCCTCATCCGCCGTAAGCGGATCGACCAAGCTGGCCTTTTAACGTCGGATAGTCTCGCCTCTCTCGGCTGCGCGCGGCATAGACGCCTATAACAAACATTATCCGCCATAATGCCCCCGTGTAAACATACCTACCTACGTGGTGCATCTCCTCTCCTCTCTCCTCTCGCAGTGTCTAGCCCCTTTTTGTCCAAATAAAAACGCGCCTCCAAGTTTATTTAACCGTTTAGCACCGAGTTAAGTTTCACACGGCTAAGCCGACTTTTCGGCACGCTTCCCATCGCGTGGCTACTTCCGCTCAGCACGTGACGTCATTTCGCGATATCCCCAACACGACGAGATGCTCGCCCGTGTTTCCTTTCATGCATTCCAGATGACGTGTGGAGAAAAAATGAATGAACTAATTGAGGCCGAGAAAATAGTTAAATTTTCATGATAATTCTGCTTGCTTATATCGCTGTGTATTTTTATTCTTTTCTATAGCGAATTGTATAGCAATAATTTATTACAATTCATACATTCGCTCATTTGCGTTTTGGACGAATATAACTTTTACAATCAGATGGCAGGCGCCGCAGACCCTTAAATCCGTGCGGTTTTGCGAATTTCCTGCTCCAAGCCTTTTCCTCAAAAAGATCGCAGACGAATAGCCATTCGTGCGAATTTCTCCCACTACTGACAATCCCCACTCTCGTTTTCGAGAAGGGTCTAATATTCAGTGTCAGGTAGCGAAAAAGTCCAGTCGCTACAAAAAAGGATCGGTTAGAGTAGATTTAGAAACGCGAGTTTCAAACGCTAGGATGATAGATTCGCAAATTTTAAGTGCAATTCTCCACGTGTTCTAAGACGTGTACAGTGTATAAATATCCTTGTGATATTGATATTATATTTTTATAAATGTGATAAATATATCAGTAATCGCGTAAACGTGAATAAACGTGTGCTTTTGTTAGATAGAAAGTTTGGAATTACCAACGAAAGCGAATCTTATATATTATTTATTTACTGCTATGATACTTATTGATGGCCTATCAGGAAATACGATTGTGTCCCTTTATTAAAGGTATTATAAAAGAATTGGATTTTTACGCCGTATTGTGTCAATTAAGAGAGATCTATGTATTATACGAGTAGCTTGTTCATTATATTTGCAGGTCGATTATTTCTGCATTGTCGAATGTTTTTGTTTTTTATTAATATTATTAATCAAAGATATCTATCTAGGGATAAAGAATTTATAATTCAATATTATTTTTTTGAACATATGACCTTTAAAACATAGTTTTCTCTCGTAACGGTTTTCTCAGCAAAACACTACCTGAGACGCTAATTGCTGCCTAGTTTTCTTTTTCAAATTGTTATTGCGTGTCCAAATATAGAAGTCTTTTAAAAAAACAATATTTTTACAAAGATTTAGAAAACGAAAAACTCGAGTGAAACTAAATCGTTTATTTTTTTTAATACATAGATTGATAAATTCATAATTATATAACTGATAAGTTACTGATAATATAAGCAATTAACATGTACATGAAACAATTGTTCATGTTATTGTTCGATCAATGGACAAATAATTTTGAATAATATAATAATTATAATTAATAATAATAATAATTTGAAGAAAACATCAGATATTTTTCGTATGTATATGTAACATGATAATAAGATTTTTAATTCCAGTTTTTTAAAATTTAGAAAAAGTGATTAGAGTTTTTATAATGAAGAATTCCTGAAGAATAAAAGTCTAGATTAGTTTTAGAAAGATTTCTTTAGTTTAAAATAATAAAATTAGTGGAAAATGATAGCGTCTCTTCCATTAAAAAAAATTGCGATATTTTTAGAATTTTAAAATCTTGAATAACATCCTATAATTAAATTTCTAAAAATTTCTCTCCAGATTTTACTCTGTGTAAATCTAAAAAAGTTTCAAATAAAAACGGAATAATTTTGTTAAAATTTTTTATTTCCAAATTGAGAGAGGTTTAATTATTACAAATCTTTAGAAGTTATTCATCACTTATGGGAAAAATTGAATAATCTAATTATTATTCAGAAACAAAATCAGAATCGCATAAACATCATACGAAATTTGATTATAATTTTCATTTACAGGTGGAGGAGTGTCGGTGCGGCAGCGTGTCGGTACCGGAAGAACCGGCGCCGATACTAGCGGAAAACGACACGAGGCGGCCATCATTATACGCGAACGGCATTGCCGCTCATCGAGAGGAGAACAGCTGGTGGCCGGCCGAGCAGGGCGGAGGGGGTCACGCGATAAGGGAGCGTGATAACAGCGCCGCGGTGGCGGGTGAGCTGGCTTGCCTCGCGGGATACATGGCGAGTTACCTGAAGGCGGCAGGCGCTACCTGCGCCTCGACCGGAAACCCTCATCAATACCACCCACACGGGCATCCCGCGATGGGGGTCGGAACCCATCCGCATCCGCATTCTCATCCGCACCCGGGTACGCCGCATCCCGGTTTGCCGTCACCCTTTGCCCTCGCGACACACGGGCATCCTCATCCGCACCCGCTCGAACATGGATTGGCATTTCCACAAGGTAAACTCTTTTCAATTTCTCGTAACATGAATTCATATTTCGGTGCTGTAGCACTGCTCGATCAGTCCGATTAATTAATCGAGCAATAATATTCATAAAATCAAAATTTTGTAGAAAGAGTAAACAAATCTGTTTATCTTTTCCAATAAAAATCTGGTATTAGAATTTCTCATTTTCGTTAAGTGCGTAATAATTATTAATAAACTATTAAATATTAAAATTCTACTTATGTATGATAATGTTTTTAAAATAAAATAATCTTTGCGTCCTCGTGTCTATATATAACATCGAAAATTGAATTCATTGAGATTATATCATTATGTAAAAATCTGCATGAAATTTTATTCAGACATTGAGGAAATTGATGCTGCATGCTATATTACTCAGCATTTACATTGGAATAAACATATATTATGGATACTGAAACAATAGCTAATCAAAGATTATCGATTAAGAATAATCGATTAAGAATAAAATGAATTAATCTTTTTGAGCAAGCTAATTATAGTAAATATAGCTAATTATAGTAAATAAATTATAATAAATTTAAATACGTTATACATATATTTAAAGCATGTCATACTTGACATTGTAAAAATAAAGTATCGCATTGGGATATTGTATTAGAATAAACGCAAATCATAGATATTCAATGACTAAAATCAATTATTGCCAAATCCGGCATTAAATTAATTTTTTTGAGTAAACCAATTATAATTAATTTAAATACACAATGTTCTTCCCTTAAAGAATGTCATACTTGACATGGTAAAAATAAAAAATAAAAATGTATGTAGTTGTCATTAATTAATTTAATGAAATTATTTTAGTAATGATTATCTGGGATAATTTTAATAAGGAATTTACATGATTCAAAAATATTTTAATGCATTCGCAAAAAGGTTTTTATATAATCGTGAGGTGGCGACAGTGGTATCGTTCTCTGTATATATTTATGTTTAATATCGTTTAATACTATTCTCGAACGTTTTTTGCTAAATAAAAATATCACGAAATATCACGAAATGGAGAAAAAACGAACAAGATTTTTGATGATGCGATTGATCTGATTAATTCAATGTAATAAAAAACAAGCGATTTAATCAGCGATTCAGCATTGCAGTCTTAAGGATTTTACTGCGAATTTTAATTTTTTTGCGTTCTAATAATATTTAATTTATTATCATTTATTATTATCACATTTAAACTGGCATTTGTATATATAATATATAATAGGTTTCGATTCATATCAACTTTTTTTCTCGATAATCAAATACGTGCCTTTTTTTAATTTTATTGCTAGAAATAAATAATAAATTTTTTGTAACATATCTCAGACTTTGATGTTCTATTAAACTTATTTTTATTTTAGTAGATTCATATCGATATATTATAAAGTCTAAAATACATATTCTAAAATATAATATCAATAAAAATTTGATGTAGATTTTCGAGCAGTTTGATACAAAATACTTGATAGAAAGGAAAGATTTTTATTAAGAAAGCCTGTTTTAAAAAAAAAAGTTTAAAGCTTAAAAAGCTGTTTAAAATTTTAAAATTGCAAAAAAATAAATTAAAAAGTATGATTGCCTCACTCATTAATCAAACATATGTTATAAAGATTGCAAAAAGAGAAATATTTCAGCACAGTCATTCCTTCTTTAGTATTATATCTAGAATGCTCTTTTCTTTGTTCTGTTTTCTTGTTCTTTGTTCTCTTTGCATTCTATTATATCTGTAGCAAGATTCTCTTATTTTTAATATACAATTTGCGAAATACTATTAATTTATATCATATACTTAATTTATCAATATGCACTACTTTTAAGTAGTACATATATTTTTTAACGATGCTAACTACTGCTGTAAGAATGACGTTTCTTGCATATCGTCGTTATTGATTGCCATGCAAATCGATGCATCGACTGAAGCCATACGAATGTCGAGCGAACAATCTCAGGGCTTCCTAACTACTGTCAACGAATTGATAGAAAACATGCATCGCATGTCAGTATTTTTCAAATGAATATAAAAAATATGATTTTCAGAAAACAGTAATATGCTTATTAAAAAGCACCTTAAATATATGAATCTCAAACGATGAATGATCGAGGAGATATATTTGTATTTGCGATTTAAAACATTAAACAGGCGAAAAAAATATTCGTAGAAAATTTCGTGGCTAACGTGCATTAGATATGCGTCTCTTGGTTAACATCAGCGACGTCTGGAATGTTTGCCCGCAGGGAGAAAACCCGACAAATACTTAGCGAACGGAAAAACTCGAGGGATCGGTCGCGGCGCGCAAAACAGAGAGAAAGACAAAGAGGCAACGGGCAATTTCGGGGGAAGAATTCTCTCTGTGTCCGCGATTCCACTCTCGAGATCGCGAACTGCCGGGTCGGTAATTGACTGCATAAATTTTCCAGTACGCCACGGGACGCACGTAGACGAAAAGAGATTGCGATGGCAGGAGGGAGAGCAGAATATAGAGCAGAATAGAGAGTAGGAAGAGAACGACGAAGAGAGTGTGCTTTCGCGTTGATTTCCTTTAGCAACACGATTCGGCGAAAAGCAGCTCGTTTCTCCTCTTTCTCTCTCTCTCTCTTTCTCGTTCATCTTTCGCCTTCTCGCTCTCTTTCACCCACAGTCGAAAGAGAGTCCGGCGACGAGGGACACAGGGTGCAGGGGGCAGAGTGTCGAGGAGACGGAGTGGTTGGAGGGGATCGGGGGATGCTTCGGCGAAGAAGAGTGGAGAGAACCATGAGAGTAAGCCGCTTATCAGGGTGGCAGCAGGCAGTATAGGTCCAACCGACGTAGATAGGTGGGTTTCCATGGAAACACGGATCTGTCCGTTGGGTCCCTACGTACTCTACGTCCAGCGGCTGCCTCTATCCGTTGTAGGCGTATCCGCGCTACACGAAAAGCCGCCGAACGAGAGAGGAACGACGCGGTGATGCCGCGAGGTTGGAGAACAGTACGGAACAGAAACGGGAATAGAGGAGAAAGAGAGAGAGAAAGAGCGATAGAGCGCGATGGCTCTCGTGCCGCTGGAGAGACTTCGCTTTTATCATCCGTTTGTGAAGCAAACTCACCTCGATTCATAGCCACGAAGCCGCCATTTGCCCCTCTGATCTCGCGTATCCTCGGTATTTTTGCGATCCGCGCAAAACATATATCGCATGACGGTTTGGGCAGAGCTTTTATTTTTTCTCTCACAGATACCTCTCCGCAGACATTGAAGCGTTTTAATCTCGACCCTCGCGCGCACGAGAATCGATAATTAGGTTGCGAGGCTATCGAAAGGTATAACGGCTCCCTTCGTCGAATTAATTCTCGCCACGATGTTCGTCAATGATGACGCGTGGACGAAAAGGGCGATTTCGTGTCGTTTGATACGCGTCGCGCGTCGATGTTTATTTTGTTATGCAATGCCGTGCAAGGGCGGCGGGGGTTTCCCTCCTTCCTCTTCCCCGCGATCGACGAAGGAGTGATAGCTTCGGGCAGGGAACTCGCCGAGGAGGCAGGAAGGGGTGCGCAAACGTAGGATCTCTCCCCAGGACTCGTGGCATGCAGCGAAATACGTGGGAATCGCGTCACATGGCCTCCGCCCTTTTCCCATCCGAGCTACTCTATTTGTTGTTGCAGAGAAATTGCCCGTCCACTTAACTTCCTCCTGCTCGTTCGCGGTGGCGCGGCGCATGAATAAAGACACCGTTGTCGATGATTTCCCTCTGCCGATTGTCAATCGAGGGGTAGCGACGAAACAAGTGATTTTGATCCCGGCCTCCTACGGGCGACACGCTCTTCCCGAAGCCGTGAGGCATAATGTATAAGATTAAAAAATACTTCGTGTCATGAATGAAAGAAGCTTACGCGGCGGAATAAAATATCCGCTCTAAATATTTTAGATGTCGAAATGTATACGCTTGATCGGCTCTTACGAATCGTTGTAAAAACCTCTTTTGAAATTTTTTAATTATTTAAAAATCGTTTGATAATTATAAAAAAAGAGTTAAGGGAGATTAATATGTATATGCATTTTTAAATTACCCTGGGAATACGTTTGCTCGACGCGAGTTATATAAATTCAATGTTTCGAGTTTCCAATCAAATGCCGCGAATATTGCCGCTGCTAAAAGCCAGCGTGCTTCCTGTTGGTGGGCGCTTGTCAGTTTGGTACGATTCCAATCACTCAATTAGGCGTCAGGTTAAGGGCGACACGTGGCGCGGACACGTGCTGTGTACTCGTCGTTACCAAGTGGCCGCGAAACGACGAAACGAGAGAGCCGGCTTCCATGGCGGCGCGTGTCACGGTTAAATTGAGTAGGCGGATGTGTGTGTCTGGAGAGGCCAAACACAAATCCAGACCTAATTGCAAGACAAACACTCGAAGCTGAGTGAAATGTCGCGTACGGCGAGACATCGACACTCACACTCGAAAATCTCGTTCCTCCTCATCGTTTCTTTCGTTTCGTGCGCGTCTTTTTACCGCGATGTCCTATCGGAATTATGCCTTCTATTATTGATACAGCGAGATCCATTTCGTGTTTATATCCAGAGAGATTTCCCATACTTGCTAAGAATTCTTCGCAAACATCGTCACTTATCGTTTTTTTTATACGCGTGCGTAGAAAATTGATAGAAGAACACAAGGTTTTTATCTTTCAATCATGCTTCCCAAAAATATTTACACACATAAATACACATATATTCGCCACATATACATATACTCGTTATTTGATAAGTAGTGAATAATTTTTCGCGAGTGGACGTCGCGAGGAAGAGGGCATCGGTTGGAACATTGCAACGCGAAACTTATCCGATTATCTGCTCCTCTCGGACGCACGTCAGTATTTTGTTACGTACTTACGTTCATATCCGTTAGATTATCGCAGGAGAACGGCTATTCGACACGACCACACGCATGTTCCTTCCTTTTCTGCCGGAACTCCCATATGAATGACAACTTCTTTCGATTTCCTGCACATATTACCATTTCGCTTTTCAGTACAAATAGTTTTCACACAGCTGATATATTTTTAATTGGAACATTTCAATTTTATAATAAATTATATATATACTTTATTTATAATATATTTATGGAACATAATTCAGAATAAAAAATTCTATTTATAATCTCATATATTATTTAACAGAACATATATAAAAAGTCAGAAATTCTATATACATACAAAATATGTAGTATACCTAATACATATACATAATAGAATGCATGTATATAAAATTATTATTTAAAATAGTATTTGTCAAATAAATAATAAATTTTCTGCCACAAATTGTTTAAAATGAACTTTAAAACATATCTATCTATAAATCTTTGTTGCTGAGATCACTTTTTTCGAGACTGTCAATTACATCATTGTTGTAATATGAATCATTAATAAAATAATTCCATTAAAAAAATGTGATCTTTAAATTTTGGAAAAAATGGCTTTTGCAAAAAATCGGTATCATATTAAAAACAATGGAAATAATCAGTTATATCTAAGATTCGCACTTCACATGTATTAAAATACACAGTAGATGTACATGTAGAGATAAAATTCTGTCGCTAATTGTTGAAATAAATTTTATATCTAACTCCCAAGATTTAAAGATCGAAAATGAGAACGAGTAAAATTAGCTTTATTACTTATTAAAGTTAAGTTTATTAAAGATGATATTTTTATCAAAATTATTATGCGAAAAGATTTGTCGCGAAAGCTGGATGCGTACAACGCGAATGCTGGAAGATTGGTGAAAAAGTGACATGTGATTTTTTTAGTTTTTCTCGAGCCTTTAGTGTTGCGCGATCACACGACGGTCACGTTGTAAACGCAAAGTCGGCCAAATGTTTTCGTAGCTGATGGCCTTTTAGAATTCCCTCTTCTGTCACCGTCCGCCACGTGCTGTCATCCCACGGTTCTCCTCCCCAATAATCCATTCCTCCGCCCATGGCGCCATCATGTAGCAGCCTATTCGCGTTTTAGCTTTTAATTAATTTTCGATTCTGTGCCCGACCGTACCTCGCCTTCCATTGTCTTCTCCATCCGTCTCTATGAATATCAAAGTAGTCGTCCGATCCTGCGACAAGCTTACTATTTTACGGCGCTTCTCGATATTCTCCGCTTTTTTTCCGCAATTTATCAAACCTAAATGATTTCCCAGCGCGTTTCATCGCCAGTCATTAACGATCGCATTATATGGCTATTTACAAAATTCTTATTTTAGACAGATTTTTCCTTATTTAATAATCTTATAGAATAACTGTTATAAGAAAGTTTTTTATGATGTGATATGTTTTTTCGTCAACCATGAAAGTATAATCCAGCTCTGCGGTTTATACGGTCAACCTGTGCAAAACCACGAGAGAATGTAACGTTGAATTACACGTTGTGTTCACTTCAAACAACTACTTTTTCTTTTTTGTCAAACCAAGATGATTTGACAAAACCACGGTGAAACCGCGATTAAAGGATAAGGAAATTTTTGCATGTCGACATCGGTGCATTGTTTGTTATTCAGTCGACCGTGCATGTAATTGTGATTAATTACCGTTTCTCTGGCATATCAATGATATGTTGCATCCGAGATAAATTCTTAGTGCCGTATTTCAGCAGCAATAAGCGTTCCTGACGTTATCTGAATCGGACATGTACATTTATTTTGTATAATTTACCGTAAGCTCTTTCCCGCGCGAAAGTCTAGATATACGCTGAGGGATAATAAGTCAACGTAATAACGTGTCAACAAACGTCATTAATTATTTTCCCATCATTGCGTACTTTATCGCGCACTGTCCAATTATGTATTTTAATTAAACCTAACGTTAATATTGTAGTTTTTCTTTTTAGATAATTTAATAGACTTAAAAATAGATTCTCTTCTTTTCCAGATTACATATATTCACAACCTAATATTAAATGAAACAAATTTATTAAATTAGCCAAAATTAATATTCAATATTTTACAAATTTTTTTAAAAATTATTTTTGACAATTTATGTTCAAAAAATGTCTGTTTAGTGCGTGAATCGCAAAATACGCAAGTGAAATATTGCAAGCATGAAATCTTACAACATATAAATAATTTATAAACACATATAAATAACAAAACTAAATGAATAATGAAAGGCAATAAAGCAAAAAACATATAAATAATTTACGCGAATACTCTCATTCCTTATTTTACAACCAGGAAAAATTACACGCCGTGCGTCCGAGATCGCGGACGCATAAGAGAGCATTGATGGATAACGCCATCGGATTCTGCGTGAGAGAGATCACTGTGAAATTCTGTTAGTGGTCCATTGACTTACGCGGATCTCGACGAAACGGTAAAACGCGGCGGGCGCGGAAGAATCCAATAAACGCAAAACGAATTTGCTATTAGGGTCGCGTCTGATCTCATTGCAGGCCAATGAGGCGGAGCAACCCTTATATCAACCCTCCCGGTATCGCGTCTCGCTGACGATAATAAATCGAATCATACTCCGGGAGTCAGCGGGTGTTTGCCGAGCCATTAGGGTCGCTTAGCTAACTGTCTCTTCTCGAAGCCCCAGATACGGTTGTTAAGATTTTTTCGCGCATTTAAATCGATCGAAATGCTCGACTTGGATTGGAAATCGTTATCGTTCTGATAATGTTTAATTATTGTAAGAATTTTAATGCAAAATTGAATGCATGATAAATATGATATATACATTGGAGAAAAATATGATATATACAAATATTTCGATTTTATTATAATTTTAAACATAACGGGAGCGATAGAGATATTTCTTCGTTCGTGAGAATCTGAAATTCGTTTTTTAATATAATTTAGACTTGACAATGTGCGTCGAATAAAGTGCAAATTTGCGACGATACTTATTCTCGAAACATTCTCTATATGTCAAGGAAGCGAGCGTGAAGAGTCATAATCGGACAGCTATTGTTTTGGTTATGGAGGGAGAAGTGTCTAGCTTTCATTGGGTTGATGGCAAAGACCATAGTTAACGGTAGCACTGACGCCCACTCGACAATCAGAGCGTTCTCTCAGAGAGCCATTCTCCTTCTACTATTATAGCAGCGAATTCAGTGACTATGAACACGAAAAGACTTCCAATCAAATGGGATTTGTCCAACAGATAATTCAATGCGTGTAAAGGATATAGTATATGAAAATTCAAATATATACAGGTAATAAATATTGACTCGATACAATTGTGACATTTAAGTAAATGCGACATGTTCTAAAATGCTGTATTAATATTTATTAATGTCTTGACGTATTCTTCGTCTTGAGTTATATTAACTGTCATCCACATATAACAAGTAATAACTTTATACAAAAGACAAACTTTAATTTTTTAAAATATTGCGCTTTTAATTCAAATATCAGAATATACAGAGAAATCATTAGAAGGAAAGAGAAAAAATTCTTGATTGTATTAAAAAGTACATATAATACTTTGTACTTTAAGCATCATGTTTATATCCTTAGATCATTCTTATGTTTTCTATCTTCCTTCTACTAATAATCTTTGAAAAGAGATATTAAAAAACATTCTCATGTTTTGTATCTTCCTTCTATTCATAAATTTTTTATAAATTAAAAACTCTTATATTATAAAATTTTTCTAAATTTCACTAATAATCTTTGAAAAGAGATATTAAAAACATCTCATTTTCAAAGATCTATTCTTTATCTGTTACTTATCTATAAGTGCTATTGATAAATATTACCATCTCATCGTAATCAAACAAATTTTATTTTCTTTATCAAATATTACCCATGATGGGCAAAACTATATATTATCCAACAAGATTGTTTTACTCGAGAATTTCGATATACGAGTTTATAATAATCAATGGCAGATTCGTGGCGAGGGTGGCGAGATACGTATCATAGATCGAGCGATCGCGGGTGTGTCGCGTCCGTCACACGAAGCGATGGCGGTAATTCCGACCACCGTGGAGTTTGTACATTGTGAGCTCGACGCAATCTATTCCGAGGATCTACTACAGTGCCATACTGGTAGCCCACTCGACCAGTTCGTTAGCCAATCACACAGGTATCGTCGTTCGTCGTCGTCTCGGGGCTCTCTTCTTGAACCCGAGAAGAGCAGCCATGAGAGATGCGACTGATACGACGATGCTTCCTCCTTCTGGACCGCTCCTTCCTTCAAAGCTTCGGGTGTTCTGCAGTTATCGCTCCCATTGGTCTTGCAGTCGTGTCGAAACGCATTCGATCGAGTTTCGAGTTACATGAATATTAATTTGTCCGTTGACACATGTATACCGCCTTTGTTCTTTGTCGTAAAATTTATATCGTAAAATTTATAACTTTTTTTCTTGATAATTATATTTGCGTATGCACGTTCTGTATGAATAGAAGTCAAAAGGTAAAAAATTTAATAAAAAATTTTTTTGATGAGTGCTTATGCACATATCGTGCTAAATGTTAAAGTTAATATATATTATAGCTGCTGTCAGTTGAAAATTTTTTATAATCGATTTTATTCTCTCTAAATACATTGTTTGGCATTTTAATATTACTCTCATATATTTAAATGTCATACAGTTATTTTAAGAATCTCTGTTTTTCGCGGTGTGTACATGTACGTACTTTTAATTTACGACTTTAAAAATTACTATATTGTTTTTATTATATTGTTTTTTGTTCTTTGTTCTCATTTCTGTTCCTACTGACGCAAACTTTCTCCTTTTTATATCACGATGGTCTTTTTCTTTGTCGTGAGTCGAGTAGAAAGAACGTTGAGGCATGGCGGATAAGAGGAACGGAAAAGAAAAAAGAGAAAGCATCGAACGTCTCGTAAACAGCTGCCTCGCGTGTCTCCCGAGTCTTAATCGATAACGAATGACGATTACAGGCATATACTTTGCAAAAGACAGGGCTTTGCCAATCTCTCGTGAATGACCCTATTATTTCTCTTATTAACTCGTATGACAGTCGGTCACTCGCGATCGTAAAACCCCTGCCTTGAAAAAAACCTCGCGAGTGTTGGAGACCTATAAAGATTAGAACACACTTCGATCAAGTATATTCCGAGAGCTTTTATTTTTTTTTCTCTCTTATTAACGTCGCCGATTCTCTGGAGTAAAACGACAATTCGAAAATTCGGTACGTAAAATATTGCACTTCGTGGCCGGCGGCCCGGCGATTCCCCCCGTCGTGAAATTCCACCATTCCGCCTGCGACTTTACGATCCGGCTTCCAACCCGGAGACACTGGCGAGGCGCAGTTTTCCAGGCGCTCTCTTTTTATTGGTTCGCGACACGAGGATACACACCGTGTATATTCGCCGATGTTGCCCGCCGAGAGACCCCGGTATCGTCATTTTCAGCGGCAGCTGGGAGCGAACCGCGACTTCGGTCCTCCTGGATGCTCGTGTATTCCGGGGTGTACTGCCTCCCTCTCTCCCCGTGCCCCTTCCCCCTCGCCGGCACCCCCGTGACCCCCTCATAAGCGGATTACGTGGGTCCCGAAACGAGCCAAGCGAGGCTCGATGGCACGAGGAAGGTAACGTGGGGTGGGTCGTTGAGGGGAGAAGGCGGGAGGGAAGGGAGCTGTTCAAAATTACGCTATCGCGGCCTCGCAACGCTCACACCCCTCCACGTCCGATCTCCCTTTGCCACGCGGCAACAACCCCCGTCTTCGTGGAAGACACCAACGTCGAAGGCGTTCCATATTTGAAGACGTCGTCATCGGCGCGATTGGTGAACGTATTGAGGTTTCGATCCCCGCGGGATAGTGCTTTGGCGGATATATTTTTCATTTCTCCTCAATATTTTATTATATATCTATGAGAAGCTCGAGTATGTTTCTCTTTTTGATTATCTCGTTTATAGTATATTACATGGCGGATATTGCCGTGAAGTTTTTTAACGAAAACATACTCTTACACGCGTTAAGGCGTTTCAAGATCGTTTAAATAATCGCTACCGTATTTTATGCAGAAATGTAAACAGCTGCCATTTTGCTATGAAAACATCGAAGGATTTAATGAACTGGAATCAACCTAATGATCGAGTCTATAAGCGAATCTTTTAATTATCTCTTGCAAAACGTTAGGCGCACTTTTAAGAGCGCTCGTAACGCGACGAAATAAAATTTCTTATCATATTTACGAGAATTAATAACGAGCGCTTTCTTTCTTCGTGTTGCAGGAATGAATCAACGCAAACAGCGTCGCGAGAGGACGACCTTCACCAGAGCTCAACTGGACGTGTTGGAGGGGCTATTCACGAAAACGAGATATCCAGATATCTTTATGCGAGAAGAGGTTGCTCTTAAAATCAACCTGCCAGAATCGCGAGTCCAGGTAATTATTTTACCTTTTTCCCTGTTTCTCTCTCTCCCTTTCTCTCTGTTTGCAGATTTTATTCCTATATTTTATATCTTTGTCAACGATGTTGAAATAATAACGGACGTAGAGAGCAAGCTCCTACGAACTTTTGGCGAGTATATCACGCTCTTCGCAAATAATCCGAAATTCATCCGAGATTGGTGCGATTTCGCGTGTCGTATATTAACGCAACGTTTAAAGTCATTACATTCTCTGCACGTTAACCGTACGATGTAATACGGTGATCTTCGAGAAACGAGAGCGAGGGGGAGGAAGAGGAGGAGAGAAAAAGAAAAAGGAGAGAAAGAGAACACGCGTTTCGTGCTTCAGCAATCGCGCGCGAGATTTAAGGTATTTACACAGGGCGTTTGCGCCCTACGTCGTTCCATTTCGCCCATTGTCCCAACCCCGCGTCTCGTACATTGATAGATGTGCCGACGAGCTCGTTGACGCTTTTATTGCGGTTCTCATGACATCTTTATTTCGCGGCGGGACGTTACCAAGTCACGGTATCGCGATTCCAAGCTCATGTCTCGAATTTCAATCGCGTTCACCCTATACGCTACACATACGATATTCATGTGTCAAAAATAAAATTATTAATCCCAGAGTTTCGGCGAATAGAATGTTTGCGAATTTTTAACATTGATGTTTTATATATATTTGCGCATTATTTTATTTTTATTTAAGCTCTGGATTTTGCTCCGTTTGCCCGTTACTCGAGTTCGGATCATTGACAATTTGCGCGGACATCATAGCACCTACCGCGATATCGTAACTAGCGGCTTGTAGGAATCGTGAAATATAGGAGACAAAAGCGCGGAAATTCAGTTCTGGGACGCGGAGTTTTCGCGCAAAGTTAAGCCGTCGTGAATGACAGTCCAACTGCAAAAGGGTGCATCGCGCACGAAACGCGTGTGAGTGTGCACGTATGCATGTACATAGGAAACACAGCGAAGGGAACGCGATCGGTTTGTGTATACATACGTGGGATGTGTATATATATATATATATATATATATATATATATATATACATTGTATTGTATAACACGTACAGCGAATGTACATGTGCGAGAAAAGCGGTGTATCTACGAATAATGTCTAGAGGAGGGATGCTGTCTGAAAGTTTTAAAGGCAGGGAGATTCGCGGTAAAAGACGGCAGGAGGGGGGACAGCAGAGATCTGACACAGACCATAGTTGTGCGTACGGATGGAGGTACACATGGCAGCGAGGTACAACATATCGTTGATTTGTTCGTGGATTATAGCCCCTGCGCTACTCCGTCTCGCTCGCGAGAGCGTTCTCGTCGAGAGAACCACGCAGCTGCGTACGAAGCGACTGACGTGCGATGCAACGCATCTCCGAATGCGTTGTCGCCGCGCCGTGCATTCGTCACTATTAATTAAGGATCAAAAAATATTGACTCGTCTCTTGACGGAGAAGAATAGCAAGACGGAGAGAAAACCTGGCCGACGATTAAAATGTAAGTGGAACTATTGTGAAATTTTTTGCAAAATTTCTTGATCGGAAATGTGAGACGTAAATCGAGCAGAAAACTGCACTCATAATATTAATATAAAAGGGAAGTCTTATATTTTGAATGAATATTAAAAATTTAATTCTATTTTTTGTACGATAGTGGAATCGAAACTTTATCAATCAAGAGATTTATACATTTATCTTGTATTTATTTTAATTACTATGTTTTAAAATATACGTCTGATAAAAAATATATAAAATAAATGTATCTATCTTATTTTTACAATTCAAACGTTTACGAGCGCACCGATATTTTCTATAACATCGAGCGAATAAAACGCTCATCATTACGTTATTAGCAAACAATGCCTGCGGCTCTCGCGCATTGTTTTCTCCATCAATCGTACGTGCCGGACGATGACACGTTCCCTGGTTTGTCGGAGTGGGGTATCGTATTAATAGTACAAATAAGAAAATATATTTGTCATAACAGAGTGTCAACGCAGCTGCGCCGCCTCCCCCCTGACCGGGGTGGTTTTCCGTTCGCTGGATGTAAACCAGATGGTGGCGCAATTTGCACCTCGGTCCTCGCCGACGGTCTCTTGATGTGTACGAGCGTGAAACCGTCAGTGGTTGCCCCCGGGGGTCCTCGGATGCCATCGCGGCCTGTTTGGTTGGTTTTTGGGGTAGCTCTTTCTCTCTTTCTCTCGCTTTTGAAGGGGGTGTCGTTGTGCAAACACGCCGTTATAATGGGATCGTTCTCTGTCCGTCGCGCTAACCTTGACGTAGATCCGTCTTTCTCGCTCTTTCGGAGACCCGTTCCGCCCGCGTTGATACGCAATATTCCGCGCACGTCGCGCCCAACAGATTTCCGCACCCTATCACGCGACGGTGGATGACTTTTGCGAAACGAGGTTCTGCCTGTGGCGATACCGCCGAGAAGTGGAAGCCAAATAAACGGAGGATGAATAATCATAGTCTCCCCGAGCTCGTACGCTTTCTGACTTTGGCACGTCTTGGAAAGATACAAAATTCAAGCGCGTTTAATTACTACGGATTAAACGCTATATATAAAGTGTAAATAATTCCTACGGGATAATATAATATAAATTACAAATTAATCATATAATAATATTTTCGTAAATTATAAGAATATTTTTCTTTATTGTATTTTTTACATATAAATAGCGTGTGTGTATTTTTTGAAATGCTTGATATGAAATATATAAACGATTTAAGTTTCCGTCCATTTTTCAAACGTTGAGAGGAAAGGATTGTGCGTGGCTTCTGCCTCGTGAACAGCATACGTGTGGCACAACCATGAAGAACGAAATCCCTCGCTATGCTTCGGCGATTCGCGCTCTCCGTAACAACTGTTACAATGCCGCCGATAATAACAACAACGATGACGGGTCCCGCTTTTAAAGGCGCGGGCATAGATTCATAGGATCGCACCCCTGGCCACATTGTGCCCCGACGGGATTATAGGGGGATGCGTGAGGGGGAGTATTACGCGGGACGAAGGAAGAGAAGGGAGGAGGGGCAATCACAACGCGCTCGCAAGCTTGCGGCGAGGGGCTGCTTTTTGTATCCCTCTTCCTCCCCTTTCTGCTGTCCCTTTTCTAGATAGAAAAATCCACGTGTGCGTGTGCGCCCATCTTTTAGATAGTTGTACATACGTGTGTGTGTGTGTGTTGTGTGTGTGTGTGTTGTGTGCGTGTATTTCGCGTTTATAGCCGTAATGTACAGCTACGAGAAACGGTATGCGTGTATGACGTTGCTCTGCGCGTATTCACGCACGAGAGATACTCGCACAGGCGGAACCAACTATTCGATCTCGGGGTGAAAACAACCCTACGAGACGAGCTCTGATTCGCGCATGCGTGCCGACGAACGCCGTAACCACCGAGGATCCCAGGGGATGCTCCAATACATGCGTGTCGCGTCTGTACGCGCGCGTGCCCCCCGTACGGCCCCTCCCTCCGAGTTCTTGTTATTGTTGCGATTTAATGAAATGTTACGCCCGCTCGCCCGCGATTACTTTCCCATTGCACCGATTAACTCCCCATTCGACCGGTTTCGCCTCTCGTGACGGGACAGTGGGACACCTTTCCTCCCTGACGATCCCTCGGGCTACGACTTCCATCGAAGACTCTTGTACTTCATTGAAAGCTGCCGATTGTACGATGCCCATTCGGGAGAGTTTAATTAATTTCCAGGTCGCGTTATACGCATAACACTGCGAAATTAGATACCATCTTAAAGATGCTACGATACGAATATAATTAAAATGAAAATATCTTTAACACATTTTTTTCCAACAGACCTATCGTAAAATGTTCCGCAACCTCATGGCGTCTACGCCGCAACCTTCTGTTTCAGGTTTGGTTCAAGAATCGTCGAGCCAAATGCAGACAGCAAATGCAACAACAGTCGCAACAGCATCAGCAGCAGCAACAACAACAGACTCCTCCGTCGAAAAGTTCGCCGAGAACGAGCCAGAATCACAGCAACAGCAGCACCGGTAGCAGGATATCGACGAGCTCGTCGACGACGCCGAGCAGACGATCCTCGCCAGATTCGCCAGCGCAAGGCAGGGAAGCACCGGTGGCAGGAAACTCACCCTTATCGACGCCGCTCCTGTCGACGCAGTCGACGTATCCGCGAGTCGGCGCGACCCCGACCGGCGGCAGCGGGGCCAACAGCAACCTGACGACCCCGTCGCCACCGCTGACGCCGAGCTCCAACCAACTGCCGTCGTCCTACCCAGCCGCGATGAACCAGATCCATCACGGCGAAGCATATGGTTTCACCTGGAGCTCGGCGGGGTCCGCCGTCAACCATAGCCAATACGCCGGCCAGAGTTACAACGCCTACGCTCAGGCGCCGTACGCCAGCAGCGACTACTATCAGGCCCAGATCCCTCACATGCACCACAGCCCGCAGACCAACTACCATCATCCTCAGTACCATCCCAATATGGCGCTCACTTCGTCCATGTCGCACCTGACCAGTCATCATCTGAACCCGGTGACCAGTCAGACTCAGGCCAGCAACGATATCGCGGCCGCCGCTGTTGTTGCAGCCACGTCGGGCGACGAGACGTCCGGTTACGTTCTGCCTGAGCAGAAGTACCCATCGTTGGTATAGCGGTCCGGCAGGTCCTCCGGGATCTTCCAGCGGAACCAGGAGACTGCGAACGTGTCCAGCTCCTCGATGCCCTACCACTGGCGACTGAATACGGCGATCTGTCACGAGATCAACGGCAATCTCGACTCCGATGACAATTGATTGTGCGGGAAAGAAAGAGAGAAAGAGGGAGCCAACGCGTCGACAGACGCACTCCAGATTCGATGAGTATGATAATTAAGAATCGAACAATCTTTGAATCGTTTACACGATGCTTTACATTCGGAATAAACGCAGTAACAGTGTTAGTTAATATATCAATCGTTCATCGTCCGCATATTTCGTTAACGCAGAATTATCCCAATAAAACGCTGTATTTCGTGTGTGAACATTAAAATAATCGCAAAAATAATTACGTGACGTTCATCTCTCGTCGATTATTCATTATCAATGGATAGTTGATTCGCGCAAAACATTTGCCGTATCTTAAAGAATACAATATCAAATATTTTTTGATATTCAAAGCTTTGCTAGCTGCAATACTGAACGCAGAAAATCAGATTATTATTATCGGCGGCTCCAAACATGCGAATAAATTGCTATTTGATAGAGTTTTTTTTTTCTATGATGTATAGGAACGTCTTTTTGGCGAATAATCGCCGAATGACAACAAAACTACGAATGAAATCATGCATTAAATAATTATTTGATAATTACTATCAATAATTATCGATACCTTTTTCTTTGTTTCGGAGAAAGTGAAAAGAAGATGATAAGATACATCATCTTACTTTAAATCGTTATATGAAATATCAAAAAGATCTGTACATAGCGATGAAAGCGATGATAGCGATGAAAAATAAAATACGATCAATTATCATGATGATCTAATCATGATTAGATCAGAATCATTTATTGATATTTCAGATTGACATTGATTTTCTAACTAATAATTGTTAGAGAGAACTTAGAAAAACAATGTATATTAGTATAACACATATAATATGATATAATTTTAATTTAGCATTATTTAATATAATTATTTCAAAATATTTTTTAAAACAATATAAGTAAAATTTAAAACGAAAAACTTTGAACCTATATTTTTCTTAACGACAATGATACACCTACAAAACGCATTTACGTTTTCTTTAATATACATTCTTTCTAACATAAATTGTTTTTCTTAATCTTATATTTATAAAAGTATCGAAATATATAATTACTGACAAATCAATAATTTCAAAAGATATTTTATCTTTATATACACAAAATATGAAATATCTCGTATTTTTCGATTATTGTATATTTCAATATGAAATATGAAGCACTTGATATGAAATATTAAGTACTTTTTGATTATTATATATTTCACTTTTATACAAAATAAAATTAATTGAAATTAATGTATAAAAATATAAAAAATGTAACGTGCGTAAAATAACTGCACGTTGCAGGTGTATCTACAAAATAAAATCGTTATTGATTATTTTTTGTAGATGCATTTCATTGCACACATTGGAAAGAAACTTACATTAATGATGTTTATTGTTAAACATCACACAACTCCTCAATTTTTTTTACTATTATTATCTATCATTAACTGATAATCAAATACATATTGTCAAAAAATACTTATTATTCATTTTATACAAAAAGATATTATTTAAAAAAGCAATGATATTTTTTATTTTATTAATGAATTATATTCATGAAATAAATTTTTTGGAAAAGCAAAAATACGAATCTTCCTTTTTAGCCACAATTTTAAGTTTTTCAACAAAGATATATTTCATATTCAATAATTACATTAATACATCAAAATATTATTTTATTTAAAAAGATATATTTCATGTTCAATAATTACATTAATATATCAAAATATTATTTTATTTTTATTTCCTTTGATTTAATTATTAATAACAAAGTATATTAATACTTTCATTATTGATAAGCAAATATTTAATCATTGACAAAAAGCAATTTTATTATTGCTATGCAAATATTTAATCATTGACCAGCAAAAAGCAATCTTTGATTTTTCTCTTTTTTTCACTTTTTCATTATGATATCATATTGCTAAATCCACTTTTGTTCCATTTTCCGAAACATCCATCAAACATACAATACATTTAAACTATATTTTAAAATATTAAAGTCGTTCTCTAATAAATATTTATATTAATATTTATGTACAAATATTTTTCATAATATTTTAGCGACACTCCTCAACAAAATCACGACAACAAACGACAAATTTATTATATTGTATTAATATTAGCAATAATAAAAAAACACACATTTATCATTCGTGCGTTACAGTTTTAAAAATCGAATACAGATAATCGGCAAAACACTAATTCGCAATGATCGAAAAGTGATTTTTAGCAAAAGTGATTTTTAGCATATTGGAAATCATTCTTTCTATATTTTCATTACCAATCCGTAGAAAATGAAATACTATCATTATAGAATATTAACAATTCATATTTAACGTTGATTCAAGTTGTCTGAATTCGAATTTTATTTAAATAGTGAATGGTTTAAACAAATATTTTGCTATATTTGAAGGATGATAAATGGATTTTTAAAGATAGATGTGAATTTGGAACATAAAATTTAATAATTGGCTGATGTCAGTTTTCAGAAGATCGTATTTTATTTTCAAAGAAGGAAACAATGATAATAAAAAAAAAGAAGAGAGAGAGAGGCTTTTCCTTGTAAATTAGAGCGAATGAATATCTTTCAAATTTTTCATGAAAAGCCTGTGCGCACCAGAATTCCTTTTAAGGCTTAATCTATCTATGATATCCTTTGTAATTTCAAGGTGAAAAGACGAGTACTCTCATCACTGCCGTCTTTATCATTGGTATTATCCTTATTATTACGATTAACATTGTATAGATAATTATTCATATCAGACACGGCCAGTAGCCGGAAAACTCTTGTAAATAGAAAAGATAAATATGATCTCGTAAATAAGAGAGAGGGAAGAGAAATAAAAAGAGATTCGGAGTTTTATTACAAAATAACGAATACTGAATAACCTCCGAGTGTAAAGTGAGAATTGCCTCGTCAGAGAGAATCTTGTTATAGTCATTCCTTTTTATGGTACTCTTTGTCTGTTCGAGGGACGTAAACTTCGTAAAAGTTTGCGTCGCGCTTTTTCAGGCAAAAGCTTAATTATCGTAATGTTTTTTCTGAAAAGATAGAAAGAAAGAGAGAACGAATAGAAAGCAGAGGGGAAGAAAGAGAACGAGAAAGAAGTGCATATGCGAGAAAATGCCTACTTAATCATGAATGTATATTTCGTGTATACTACCTAATGTATATTACTCCCTGAAACAGAAGAAACTGAACTTAGAGGATTATTAAAAAATAAATATATCATTATAAGATTAAAAAAAACGATAGGAAGATGATAAAACAGCGATATTATGATGCATGTAGACCTAAGCTACTTTGTAATAAATGCAAATGTACATAAAACGTATATCTCTTGTAAGATACATGATTGTCCTATCATGTGCAAAGAGGACTCTTCCTACATCAGAAAAAAAATCGCATATTATTAATAAGCAGTCTCGATTACTTTCCCGATTCTTTTCCGATTTACACCGATCTCCCTGGTCCTCTCGAAAGGTATCCATCGATAGGGCGAGCTGCGCGATCGTTTTAAATCGAAATTTTATCGCTTCTCTCCCATACGTGCTCCGATGTGCGCGGATTACGTTTCGAGCTGTATCTGCGACAAAATTCCCAGCACGCAATACGCAATCCCTCTCTCCATTTCGTCCTGGCAGCTTTATAGATCGCGAGCACGGTTCTTATTAATCACATTGATGTTCGCAAGACCCTACCGCCGCGGGCAGCAATTCTGCTAATGCACTTGAAATTAATTAACGTCAAAGCGACCACGTTTCGTTATTTGAGCGACCGCGCATATATCGATCTCGAACCATTAAGCGTATATTAATTACAAACTCGCGGTCGCGCGTTCGCCGTAATCGTGATGCAGTGTCGCCGTTATTCGCGCACTCCCCAGCGTCTCATTTTTTTCACACCCTAGAACCCTTGCGAGGGATATATCGCGATAATTGATAAAGGCAATTATTTCTTGTCATCTGTTTCATTTTTTAAATTAAGAAATCTAAAAAAACACAGTCGTAGCATCTGTAAATATAATATACAGCGACATTACACAATTAATTTTATTATTATATACACATATAAGAATCTAAATTTATTTTATTTTAATGATTGTAATGATTACTCGACACAAAGGAGTATATTCATTAACGCCTGTAAGGATGCAAACAAACAGGGAACGCGTCGATCTTAATATTAATCGCCGAACTTTTCTCATAATCGATAACGGCCCATTAGAAGATCACAGGTGTGCAGATTCTGCGGTAGATACGCATACGCGTACGAAAAACGATGATGCGGGTGATGGGAGGATACGTCTGTGTGTCCCGGTAGTGTGTTTCTAAATGGCCTAAACATCACAACAAAGGACCCCATGCAGGCATGAAGGAAAGCGAGTGCCGCCCTATGCCCAGCTAATTGGACAGATCGCGTACCTGTCCACCTTTTGACAACGTAATCCGGCATCCTTTCTAACTCATCAAATTAACGAGCTATAACGAATTGTCCGTTGTCCGCTCGCGCTTTGATGACCCTTTCGCATAATCGGGGCACAAATCCTCCGCGCAACTTTCTCTTTAAAGAGGATATAGACCTCATGAAAGACACACTCAAAAGTATTAGTAGATTCAAGCTCCGTACTGGATTTGCGTCATGTGACGCTCGTTTAGGCAATCTTGATGACAGCCGGATTGTATCTTACATCATAACAATAAATGATGCCATCGCGAAAAAATAATCATATATCAAAAGTTTTATTATGATTTATTTTATCAATTCGTAAAGACGCGAAAGAAAAGTAACCCAATAGTCTTAATAATATATGCTTGTTTTCAATTGTTTGCTTTTTAAAAATAGATTGTAAAAAATATGTAAAAAAAAAAAGAAGAACAGAGAGATTCGACTAAATTTGCAAATCATATATTAAAGAAATTGTGGGAAAACGCTGAAAGAGTTTTATAAATACAAAACTTTTGAACAAGTCGGAAGTATCGAAACCGTATTCATAAAGAAAGCACTGGAACGCTTTGAGAAATATTTTTTTGGAAAAGAAAGAACCCATAATGCTCTTTACGATTAGGTGTTGCCGATACCTTGTCGCATTACAAGGAACGCCGGCGCGTCAACGATCACTTCCATTCTTGCGACGAAGACAATGGCCTTGAACTTGGCCGAGTGTCGCGGCGAAGAGTTAAAATCGGCTTGCGTTTAGCCGGATCCCATTATAACAACTACGGCGGAGCCGACGGTAAGCTTCATGCCTCGATTCCGCTCACTGTGTCACCGGGCTAAGCCCCGACTTACCTACCTACATCCTCGCAAACGGTTCTCTTACCCCTTTTCCTCGGCACCGGTCTCCCTGTTTCTCTCTTTCTCTCCCTCCCTCTATCTCTCTCTCTCTCTTTTGGCTTAATATTTTTGCATTATTTTTTTTCTTCTTCGGCGCGTATTCAAAATTTACAAAGTGAACGGTACTAGTGACCTGTCTTCCCACGAGAAGATCAGAAGGCGGTTTGTGTTCACCATCGATGGATAATTTGGACGATTCGACGAATTGGTCAGCGGGTTGCCGGGAAGCGACCCCGATAATCTCTATGAGA